TTGTTACTACTAGTAAGGCACTTGTTCCTAGTAGCTTCTTGTTACTAGTAGTAAGGCACCTGTTACTACTAGCGTGGCACTTTAATGCTTAGATCTGCTTTTCCAGCTGGTACAGAGTTTCTGCAAGAATTCTATTCATTGCGAATTGCTATCTCATACCTTCTGGCTTGGGTTGGACCATCATGAGTTGTTTCGAACCTCTCTTGTATTCAACGCCGGATGGGCGCTAATTTACCTTGAACTCTTGTGGTGACAATGGGCATTCGGGGAAAACCCAAACCCAAAACGCTTGTTTGGAAGCGAAAAGCGTTCCAAAGAATTCCTTCGTGGTTCTTCTGTCCCCGTCGTTGGAAGAGCTGTTGTTCTCTTTCTGTTTTAGTGTACTGAACAATCTCACTTCTTTCCTCTCTTCGGTGTTTCCTGTCTTCGCTGTCATCGCTGTCTTGGCTCAGACTTCTGCCACAAAGAAGCTACATGTTGCCAAGCTGTCATGGGCTGTCATGTTGCCAAGCTGGGGGGCAGCTTCAACTTACAATTTGTTGCTGCTTTGTTTGTTGAGTTTGAGCGAGCTCAAGCCATGAAATGCCAGTCTAGCCAAGACCCAGCTTGGTTTCGCTAGTGGGAGCAGAGGCAGTGAAAGGAGTGAAACTGGTAGGGCAAAGATGTCTTTCGGCTGATTTAGCCGCACCCTGCAGCATGTGCCACAATGTTCAAGAGGATATGGCTAATTTGGTCGACAATTGCAGAGGCGTCCAGAATTCAGGCACACTGAGTTTGTTTGCGGCCCTGAGGGCCGTGTCTTGTTGTGTCCGCCCCACCGACACACCATACTGTCAGGTTCAAACGTGTGTGTGCAGCATAGACATTGAATCCCATTGAATCCCATTGGAATTCTTCTAGATTGGAGGCCATCGCTAGTAGGATGGAGGCCATCGCTAGTAGGTTGGAGGCCATCGCTAGTAGGATGGAGGCCATCGCTAGTAGGATGGAGGCCATCGCTAGTGTGTTGGAGGCCATCGCTACTTGAAACAATGAAAAAGGAAAGGAAGATCGCATCGATGTACACATAGTTAAGTTTCCCAAGATGATTAGAGTCGGGGGGAGCTTCCTTGAAGAAGCGTGAGTTATCCTGAGTCCTAGGTAGTAGCTGCTTGTTAGCTACCCTAGCTTCTGCCTCTTCTCGACCTATCCCCACCCCGCCGGGCTTAACACCGACTCGCATCCCACCGCACGCTACAGGCAAACTGGTTCTACCTCAGCACCACTGTGATCCCAACTGAGTCTCGGGTCCAGTTGAGAAGCTGTTGTTGGTCGAACTGGAGAGAAAGAAACGCCAAGCGAATGGATTTCACATGATTTCACAAGCCTCCCAGCAGGAAACCTACTTAGTGTGTGATTCTGTTCTTTCGTGGGCCAAGAGCAACCACCCGTGCTGTATTGCAAGCTCTCAACCCAGGACCTGCCATACACAGATGTGACACTTTCGGCGACTTATAATATCATCAATTGGGACAGCTCGACCTTCTCTTGGAACGGTCCTCAGCATGTGGAGACATTTGGAGGTCGCAGAGTCTGGCAGAAATGGCCCTCAAGACAGTTGAGAAGCGCACTAGTAGCTTCGTGTTACTAGTAGTAATGCCCTTGTTACTAGTAGCGATGCCCTAGTTACTAGTATAATTAGATCAGGGATGGTCAAGCTTTCACTGATGTTTGGGTTTGGACATCAAGTGTCCTTTAGAGAATGTTGAGCATCCCTTGGATACTGTTTTAGTGCACTGGCTATGGCACAGCTACAAATGGCATACCACCCAAACGTGTTTTTATCAGCATCAGCTGGGGACCTTGGTTCGGCAGGTGTCTCGCGGAAAACCGTGTTTTACCTGAAAACCACAGGTATGGACCCCCTGGTTCTCTCGCGGATCCTTTGCCGGTCCTTGGAGCAAGCGCTCCAATCGTTTGACGAATAACTGAGGGTTTGGAGCACGGGCGCTGCAATTCAGTTCGCCACCACCTTGACCATCAGCCAGTCCGGGTTTTACGCTTTCCAGTTGGACTTCAGAGATGGTGCGCGGCTGCAACTTGGAGCTCAGCGTTTTTTTGGAAGGCTTTATGGGTTGGTTTGCCTCGTGTTTACCAGGTGTTCCAACGCATCATTACCTGTTCACTGTGCCATGGTTCGCTACAAGAAAGGCACCCTTAGGCATTGAAGTTCAACACTTCAAGTATCTTTCAAGCACCTCCTTTCCTTGAGTGGCCAAGTATCCCCGGAGCGGCCAAGGAAGTTCGGTGACATCAATGTTCAAGATACTCCAATTCTTGACACTTGGCGGCAGTGGTCAAAAGAGCCTTGAGAGGCCTTTAGGGTTCTCAAAGATGCATGGCATTCAAATGCATTCAATAGATTTCAATAGTATCCGCACTTTGTCACTTGTTTGTTTTTTTCCCCACATCTCTGTGTGGGGTTCTAGTTTTGTTGGCTGGCATCCCGCCCGCATCCGCCGGTCCTTCCTTCCTTCCGTCCTCCTCGCCCCCTCCTCAGTCACGCACTCACTCACTCACTGACTCACTCACTCACTCATGCTTCACATCACTCACTCACTCACTGACGCAACACAAACTCACTCACTCACTCACTCGCTCACTCACTCACTCACTCATGCTTCACATCACTCACTCACTCACTGACACAACACAAGATCTCACCACTCACTAGATCTCACCACTCACTCCCTCACTCACTCACTCCACTCACTCACTCACTCACTCACTCCACTCACTCACTCACTCACTCACTCACTCATTCACTCACTCATTCACACACACAACACAAGATCTCACATCTCACATTCACACACACAACACAAGATCTCACCACTCACTCACTCACTCACTCACTCACTCACTCACTCACTCACTCACTCACTCACTCACTCACTCCACTCTCTCACATTCACACACACAACACAAGATCTCACCACTCACTCACTCACTCCACTCACTCACTCCGGCTCTCTCCGCAGTGTCCAGAGACTGCAGAAGGGCCTGCGGCGCGCGTGGTCGCCGCTGGGGGCCCGGCTCTCTCCGCAGTGTCCGGCGCAGTGTTCAGAGACTGCAGAAGGGCCTCCGGCGCGCGTGGTCGCCGCTGGGGGCCCGGCTCTCTCCGCAGTGTCCCAGAGACTGCAGAAGGGCCTCCGGCGTGCGTGGTCGCCGCTGCGGGTCCGGCTCTCTCCGCAGTGGCCGGCGCAGTGTCTAGAGACTGCAGAAGGGCTTGCGGCGCGCGTGGTCGCCGCTGGGGGCCCGGCTCTCTGGCGCAGTGTCCAGAGACTGAGAAGGGCCTGCGGCGCGCGTGGTCGCTGGGGGCCCGGCGCGCGTGGTCGCCGCTGGGGGCCCGGCTCTCTCCGCAGTGTCCGGCGCAGTGTCCAGAGACTGCAGAAGGGCCTGCGGCGCGCGTGGTCGCCGCTGGGGGCCCGGCTCTCTGGCGCAGTGTTCAGAGACTGCGTTACTGCCATTGTGATTTGTTTGCAAAGCAATGGTTGTGACAGGCTGCGAATCGCATTGTCATGGCTGCGGCCAGGATGTGCGCACACTGTGTCTGTGCACTAGTGCCATTGTGATTTCCATAGTATTGGTTCTTGCCGGTTCGGAGTCGCATTGTAAATGCTGCGAGAAGGATGTTTGCGAAGTGTGTCTGTGCACTGGTGCCATTGTGATTTGCAGGACCAGTGTTTGCGCGGCATGCGAATCGCCTTGTAAATGCTGCATATAGAAGTTGAGTATCCCTCTCCGTCTCCTTCTCCCTCTTGTCCCTCTCATCTCCGTCCATCACATCATGAGCCATCTTATCACACACACACACATACCTCATCAGCATATGCGTATCATACACCTCCTTTCCTCCCGCTTTGTTCTTCCCTTTTCATCCCGCCGCTGGGGGCCCGGCTCTCTCCGCAGTGGCCGGCGCAGTGTCCAGAGGCTGCGGCGAGGGCGGGTATGAAGCCCGTCTCCGCGCTACGTCCACTAGGATTTACGTGGCCAGTGTTATCACTGCGTTCTCATGATTGCGGCGTTTGAAGAGCCAGAGGTGGGCTGGAAAGCGTGGTTTGAAGATCTCCAGATTCGGTGGTTTACGTTCGACGTGGACGATCCCAGAACATACTTGGATGACACCAATACTTTTTGTCAAGAAGTGGGAAATGCCTGGTTGGCATCGTGGATGGACATGTGCTGCGCTCTTCTGAAGCACTTGAAGGCAACGACTCAGCGAGAAGAACGAGGCATCCTCTTTCATTGCTTCGGCGGGGTCAACCGCAGCTCAGCGGCATTGTGCGCGTGGTTGATCTTTCGTCGTCAGCTCTCCGCGGAAGCGGCTGTGCAGAGCTTGTTGACGGCCCGTCCCACGCTTCACCCCTGGAAGCATCGGCCGCATGTCTTCTGGGCATTGCGTACTTGGGAGAAGAACCTAAATTCCTTTGTAAGACCTCGCATTTTTGCTGCAGTTCAAGAACTGTGAGCTAGCATGCCGGCGAGTCGACGTGACGAGCTGGACAGACTGTGACGATACACTGCTGCGAAAAGAATCGAAAACAACGCTGCCTTGCGTTGCATAACGACTGACGGAGTTCGTTTCTCAAAAGAATTGACACTGACCAAGTTCGTTTCTGACATCGACACTTCTGATGTCTTGTGCTAGCCTCCGCCTTCAGTGTTGCAAATATATACTCACTGTTCGTGCGAGTTGACCGGAGCTCAGGTCCTGCCTGGAGCTCACTCTACATCTCTGCGTGAGAGAAAAAAGCGTGTCTCACCTCTTCTTGCTTTACATCCTGCTAACACTGCCCGCCGTGGTCGGGATGAGACCACTTGATAGCTTTGATGGTCGTTTCGAGTGTGTTACGTTTTGAACGCCACTTGATAGCCTCACCCACACACACACACCTCCTCCCTCCCCTCCTTCTCATCCTCGTCCATCACATCATCACTTATACTGCGCGTCTGAGCATAACCGCCTCACACTTCCTTCTTGACATTTCATCTCACTACTCCGTCTCCCAAGTGATGTTCATATACAGTTGGAATTTGTAAAACTTATCATGTGGGGTTATCCGGTCCTTTTATTTCTCAGTGCAGTTGGATGTCGATCTGTGCACAGTGACATCTTATGGTCCATACATATCCACAGTTGTCCTGTACGGTGGATGAAAGTGAGCAGTTCTGAGTCTAATCTGAACATTCAAGACTTCTCATGTCTGTGGGCAATTCTCGGTTGCCTATGTGGAGATGAACATAGATGAACATTCAAAAAATCCTTTGGAGTGTACATTGAGTCTACTTAAGCTCCTAATAGTAAGGCCAGGAGCCCCGTTTGTAGCGTCCAAAGTCTGAAGTCGGAAAGGAATTGGATGGGATCATCGATGGCACGGGGGAGAACATCCGCACCTCCACGCCTCAGCGCCATGGCTGAGCGTGTTCTGAGTGAAGGTAGAGATGCAGCGGCCCACAAAAAGAAGGGCCCCGCGAAGGCCCGAAGGTGAAAGAATATGTTCGAATTTAAGTGGCGTTTCTTTTTGCGTCTAAAAGAGCGAAACACGAGCGTCACTCAACAGTTGGATGAAGGCGACCCCTCAAAAAAGAATCGATATTGGTATATCGAGCTGCAATGACGGAGCTGGGCAAAATACCTGAGGTATGTGGAGGCCGGGAGCTACCCGGTCTACCTCGAGTACTTTACCGTGAAGAGTGGATATTCACGGTTGAAGTTCTACTACCGAGGTGCGGAAAGGTGGGGTTACAGTGGGTTCAGAGCTAGTAGATGGCACCATCCGCAAAAGGTGGTTCATATGGATCCCCATCTAAAAGACATGTAAGGGGATTTGCTATCTATTCTGAAACCGCTGTAGAGGGAAGGTGTTCCAGGATGTTGAATTTTGGAACACAGGAAAGTGATCGCACGCTGGGCATCCATTCGCTGAACCGTGGCATTCTTTGTTTAGTGGGGCCCTTTTGGTGTGTTTGATGAGGTTTGTTGTTTAAACATGTGTAAATTTTAAACCATTAATATATAGTTGTCAATATGTATCAATGAATCAATAGTATAATGGGGCTCAGAACTGCATGTTCCTTTCATCAGCTGCAGGACCCGATACTGGAGATGAATGGGCATTGGTATGTTCTGGAGGCGCCAGCACTTGCTCCCCGCTGGACCCCCCCCACAAGCCAGAGAAGCTCGGCCCAAATTCTGCCCGCCCCGACTGACTTGTGCCATGACTGCCTTGGCTTCAAACCGGGCTGTTTAGAGAATGGCTCAAACATGCAGACCTATTGGAAGAGGTGCTGGTGGCTCCAGTGAATACCAGTTGTGACAAGGCCATTGATGAGCGATGAGATAATCAGAAAGCAGCAGGAATTGTCCTGTCTTTCACATTCTTTCACTGAGGATTACAGTCTTTGGTGACAATCCCAGCTATTTCTTGAAAAATGCCTCGGCGGACTATGAAGATCCTGGATCCCAATGTCCTCTCCTCGGCTGAATCCGAAAACGTTGACCGCGTCCCGACCGCGTCCGACCGAGGCTTGAGCGGCGACGAGGACTCCGTCAACAGATGGGCCTGGGAGGTCGTTCTGGAGAAACCATCTCTGGGGACCACTGGCACCTTCTATACGAACTACACCTGTTCGGAGCTTAGTTTGAGATGATCCAAAGAGAGAGATCCTGCTATTTTTTGGAGATTGAAGTATTTTGAACTGTCAAAAGTCAGGACAATTGAGGGATCCGGCAGCCGAGCGGAAAGCAGTTTGGGAGATGGAGGGGGGGTTCACTTCCGATCGTGGGTCGGTTGCCGAGTGTTCCCGACCCAAGAGAGTCGGGTTGCCTTCGCCGAGTCTTGAGGCGAGGATAGCTATGGCCTTATCGACACGGCAAACCGTGAGGCCCGGTGAACCGTGAAGGAAGTGTTTTCTTCGACACCGCTTTCGGCTGAAGTTTCGGGTGAGAGTGAAGCTGTGTCGGTAGCCGGCAAACGGCTTTGTAGTTGGCTTCCCTTCAACTTTCGGCTTCAACAATCAGGGCATCGCTACTAGGAGCAAGGACGCTACTAGTAGCTCCTGGCCTTACTAGTAACACAGGGCATCGCACCTAGTAGTCCACAATAGATGGCTTGAAGCCCTATCGCTTCCCGTTGAGGTGATTATACGCGATGTGCCATCCATCACATTGATCGGGCCAACGCCGTTTGTGTTACTCAAGTGCCTCGACTTGGCCAACCTGGCTTTACGCTGTACTGGAACGGGTGGTGGGCAAGCGGGGCAAACAGTGGCTGGGTGTAACAAGGAGCCCCTGTGTCACAAGGTGTTTTTAAAAGAGATGATGAAGCTTGATGGGTAACTCAAAGCCGCAAAACAAAAAATACATGTGGAGATTGTCACTGATTGATGAACAGACAGGCATCCAAATGCCTACCAACTTCTTCCTTGCATGAGCTGCCTGTGTGAGATTGGCATGCAAAGCATGCGGGCACTGATGGTATTTGCACCCAGGGAAACCTACTTTGTTGGTATTTGCAGTGGATGCAGATGCCACCCACCTGCCGTTTCTTTACACGAAGAACACCATCGAGCTGAAAAGATAACAGAACACGGTTTGTACCAACTGGCGGAATCTCAAAACTACAGGCAACAGTCACCAAGAGGCCAAGAGGTTGTGGGTCTGGTGTGTTGGCCTTTTCGGGCTGCAGTGTACCCAGGGACCCACTGTATACAACTTGGTGCAGTGTGCTTGTAGCATTTCCTGTCAACCCTCGACCAGATGAGCTTCCGAAGCTCAGGGATGATACCTTTTCCGATCCACAGGCCAGGGATGTTTGACGATCTTGGGATTTCTTGCTGCTTGAGAGTCATGAAACCCTTTCCACAGTTTCCAGGAGTTCATGATTGCCAAAGCAATGGTCTAAATTCTTCTGGAAGAATTGAACGGCCAGCAAAAACACAGGGACAACGATCAAAAACAGCTGATGCAGAGTCCTCGCAGGCCTGTTGTTTGGACTTTGCGGGGAACAGCCTCTCAGTGGTGTCCTTCCAGTCAGTCACCAGCGACGAAGGGGTCTACGAGCCGCTTGGGCTGGAGAATTGCACACATCAGCTACTGGATGTTATGAGTAATTCAGTGGCATTGGGGAGACGAAGACATGTTACTTGAGATGTGGTGATTTCGAAGTCAACCTTGGTGATCAGGACCAGTTACACCTGTGTGGACCCCTTGATCAGCTACATGGTCACCGCAAATCGTCAAGTGGTTGTGGCGACCTCAGACCGAGCGCAATGCGCTGTGCTGGGCCCTTCTTCCGCATCGAGTGAAGCCCGCTATACGTCGCTCCTTTGCGCGGCTGAGGTAGCATGGGTCACGGCAAAAAGGGGAGAACCTGACTCACCCTCCTCCTTATCCCTTGTATTACTAGTAGCAAGAATGCTCCTAGTAGTACGGCCAGGAGCCCCTACTATCGTCCTTGCTCCTAGTAGTATGGCCAGGAGCCCCTACTATCGTCCTTGCTCCTAGTAGTAAGGCCAGGAGCCCCTAGTAGCGTCCTTGCTCCTAGTAGTACGGCCAGGAGCCCCTAGTAGCGTCCTTGCTCCTGGTAGTAAGGCCAGGAGCCCCTAGTAGCTTCTTGTTACTAGTAGCCTCCTTATCCCTCCTTCTCTTGCTTGTCGTTTCTTTCCGAATCGCAGCCAAGGTCAACACCGAGCCTGTTATCGAGTTGCTGGGCGACAGCACGGTGAAGATCACCAAGGCTGTTGGACAGAAAGCTGTTCAAAACAGACAAACAGTTGAAGACTTGTTGGGAAAGACGAGGAACATATCATTATGTATTATACAAACAGTCAGAAGCAGGGGCTGATCTGCTATCTCTACATATCTCTACCAGATGTCTTCGACTGTGTTAGCCTTTACGACGGTGTGGTTAAAGGGCGAAAGTCGCAGACGTTTGGGCCGTTTGGGTTATTTGATCTGAAGACACTGCAGGGAACCGGATATGTGGATGATGGTATAGTATGTCATGACGCTGAAGATGGGCTCATCACCAACATTCGCCCGGACAATGAAGAGAAGCCTGGATCAATTTGCAAATGACTTCAGAAATTTACTATTTGGCTAGTGCCGGATGTGCCAGCACCAAGAGTAATCCATGCTGAAAGCAAAACCAAGAACACATGTTTAGTGAGTTTCTTGAGGTTTGCAGTTCTCGGACTTTTCTTCTCCAGTTCTTGCTGACTCAAACATATACGAACATATAGTGGTCCCCAAATGATTGAAACGGTATACCGGTTCCAATACATTTTTAGTGTGTGTCTACCTTTCTATCTATTTGGGGGTATACTCAAACATTTGGCCAATCTGCCAGGAGTGTCTATGTATGTTTATGCTTTTTCTTGAGCTCAAGTGTTCCTTTCGACGCCTTCGCACACCTGTTGATCGGTCTTTCAAGATGAACACATCCCTTGCCGCATGGGACCCCAAATGCTCGCAAAATTCTTGTGTCTGACAAAAACTTGCCGTGTTAAAAAGGACAATGGTTCAATCAAGGACTTTGTTGTTTCAAACCACCTGAGACCTACTTGACCTAGTTGAAAGTCGTTGAAACCACACATCTCCCTTTTTGCCGCTTCCATTTGTGAGGATCATCCGCCCGGCGCGTGTTTACACCAGCGACTCCTCCACCGCCACAGCGCGGGCCGCGGTGGACGGGAACGGCGAAGACACCTGTGGGAACTGCGAGCTGGTGCAAACAGGCGATGGCAGGGCGGCCAGGGAGAATGAAGAAGAGTGGTGTTTATGGCAAAGAAGCGGCTGCAGAAGGATGTGTTCTTTTGTTTGCTGAATTGGTAAAGTGGTTTTGGATGGTTTCTGTATGTGCGGGTAGTAGATGAGTTAGGATCTGTGAATGAAGGCAGAACACCAAGGCGGAGCATGACTCAAACATCTCGGTGTCCATCGAGTTTTGACCTTTGTGGTGGAGATGTAGAGATCCGCGACACGTGAACCAAACCCATCTGCTTCACATCTCACTGGAAGCCAAGAAGTCACGTATCACGCCCACCATGAGTGTCTCTTCACCGAGACCGAGACCTCAGCTGAATCGGTGAGGCGTGTGCAGCACACCTTAGTACTAAGTGCATCGCTATTGGATGCCCTTGTTACTAATAGCGATGGCCTCCAACCTAGTAAGGCCAGGAGCACCTAGTAGCGTCTTTGCTCCGTTTGTAGCGATGCCCTTTGCTCCGAACGTAGCTTCTTGCGACGCAGCACCCCTCCACGCCGTCCACTCGGCCTGGTAGAAGACGCGAGGCCTTCTACGCTGGGTGCAGCTGGACCTGGGCGCCCCGCGCAGCGTCACGCAGGTGCGGCTCTATGCACCCAGCGACGGCCCCACGGCCGAAAAGGGACGGGGCCGGAGGAGTTGGACGGGGGAAATGGGTGGGAGGTAGCGATGGCTTTTGATGCTTAGAACGTCTTAGAACCTTTAAAACTCCATTTATTAATACGTTTTAACACCTAATTAAGGACTTCTGGTGCATTTTGGTGATTCAAAGGTTCGGAAGGCCCAGCATTTATCGCTTGTTACATTACAAAAGACATCAACATCTCACAGTGAAGATGTCCACTTTCCGCAGAAATGTCGTTCCAAGCTGCCGAGCGCCAATGAAAGCCCAGTTTTGTGTCTTTAGCCAAGGATTCCAAGTTCAAGTTGGGCTGCTGCCATGGCCAATTCAGGGCAATTCTACGCTGTGCCCTTGCGAATGTTTGTTTGGAATATGAATTGCATGAAAAACACGCGCATTTCTGCATTTTACTTCCTCTGTCAATGACCCCGTCTCATTTTGGAGCGCGACATTCTTGGGTCGATTTGAGTGACGCCACATGAGTTTCACACCTCGTGACAGGGACTTTCCAAGCTTCAACACTACAAAATCCTCTAGTCAACTTAAAGCAATAGACCAGCAGACAGTCTTTGCCAAGTTACCATTGGAGGTCACTGTTCTTACAAGTGTTCACAATGTCCTTGCTGTTGGTGAGGTACGAAAGCACTACGAGTGATTGCAGTAGCGCCACTTGGACAGCATGTTGGGTGGAAGGGTGTTGGGTGAGAGAAGCATTGTAAAGCCCTTTGAACTGTGCACCTGAGCAATTCGAGCCGTGATTGGGTCAGGTGTGGCAAAGCTCTCTCAACCTAATTCAAATCAGTTTAACTTGGGTCAAGATCGTTTCCATTGCCAAACTTTTCAAGAAGGGTAGAACGCTGTCTGAGTATTTATGATGTTCTTCACATATTTCCTCGATGAATCTCGATCAGTCAACGAGGACACAAGGCATGAAGCATTGCGAAAGATGCAGAAGGAAAAAAACAAAATAGAAGCGAGGTGAGCAAATGGGATATCTGGGATTTGCACCTCTGCGAGCGCGCGGCAGAGCTGTTGGGTCTCAGCTTCACCTCCTCCAGTTTCAGCTCTGCCACAGGCGGATAGAAATGGATAGGAGAGAGAGAGAGAGAGCGAGCTGTGTGAAGCCTGTTTACTTAGAGAAAAAGAAAGAACTTGCCAGCCGACCTTATTGTCGCGCATAAACAAACAGCTATTCGTAACTGTAATACTTACCTTTGGTGACAGGAGATAAACTCCGACTCAACTGTTGAAAGCTTCTGATGCCTGGGCACTTTTTGGCACAGAACTGTTCGGCAGGTGATGCCCATGCTTGTGTCTATGACAGCACCTTGGATGTCAAAGGCGGAGAGGTGGTCACTGCTGTCAAGGCTCCCATTCGGGGAGGCCCTGTTGAGAAGGCTCCCTTCGCAAAGTGGTGACAAGATGTGACAAGTCCTTGATGTTTCTAGTAACAAGTGCCACGCTAGTAGTAACAGGTGCCTTACTAGTAGTAACAAGAAACTATTAATTTAGTTTAAACTTAAATTAAAATCGAATAGCTTCTTGTTACTACTAGTAAGGCACTTGTTACTAGAAGCGATGCACTTGCTCTAATAGCTTCTTGTTACTACTAGTAAGGCACTTGTTACTAGAAGCGATGCACTTGCTCCTAGTAGCGTCTTGTTACTACTAGTAAGGCACTTGTTACTAGAAGCGATGCACTTG